CGCTTAACGACTTTATTTGCCCAACTTGGGCAAATGTAAACGCTGCTGCAGCCGCCGCTTGGGGAAAGGCAACGGTTCCATCCACGTCTGCGATGCTCCATGCTAACAAATAAACAAACTCCGGCACAAGAAACCAAACAGAAACAGAAACTAAACCAAACCAAACCCAAGAAAACCGCAAATAGATCTTACGGATACCTGATAAGCTTCAGATACGAGATGCGCATAGTGGTTAAAGTACTTCAAGATCAAAAACCAATTTTTATATAAAACGCGATGGTGATAATTTTAGAAGTAAGAAAATACATTTACAAACATTCCAGGAAATAAAATATTGAAAACAAATATTATTGTAGCTAGTTTTGTCTTTGCGGGTAATTCTATTGTTTATTTTCGCCTTAAACTAATCTGTTTAACTAACTACTTGTACGGCTAAGTCCTTCTAAGAAATAATCCGAATATCCTTGGGTTTGGTCACCTCGAAGACACTGTTTCAGTTACTTTCTTGAGAGCTAAGCAGTTTAGAGCAGAAGCAGCTCGCTTTTTGTTGCAGTTGGTGGCAGGCAAACATCACGTGTGCCTCTCAGAATCCTTGTGGCTTGTGTGTGTTAGCTGTTTTTGGTTGTGTGTGCAGGTGGAACTGTGCTCGTGTGTGTGTGCGTGTGTGGCAGTGTGTCCCACTGTTGTCACTGCAAAAACAATGCACTCGACTGCAACGACGACAGCATCAACATGCATAAAATACATTTTCATTCGCATTTTATTTGTTTTAAGCTGCGACTTTACACAAAGCCAACAAAGTGGCAGCCGCCCGCCATCTGTGTTTGTCTGTGTGTGAGTTTTCCCGAGTGTGAGGGACCGGATATAGCCACGGATATCGAAAAGTTGTTCCTGGCACTCTCGCCAAGCGAAGAAGTCATAAAACCGAATATTGTTTTTTAAAATGACAGCAGCTGGAAATTAAGTTCTTGACTTTTATGTTCACCGCAAGTTCGGAACTATTGATATGGACTCTGCTAACTGAGTTTTAGCCTCAAGGTAAAAGCGAAAAGGTGGGATTCGGATGGCCTTTACGATGTGAGAACTTAATGTGGCGGTCGTTAGTGGAATTGCAATTCGTAGAGGAAACGAGCGAGACACTCTTTGATTGTTTCGTTTTCTAACACATTGTAATTCCATCATCTATGGGTCGGGAATAAAGGGAAAACTAATTAGCTTTTGCTGGCGCTGCCGCATTATTTCGCTTTGTAATCTCATCAGCATTCGACGCGAGTTTTGACTCGTAATCACATTAAAAGTATGTCACACTTCACTTACTGTCAGCGACTGTATTTTCTTATTAATTTAAAACCATTTGTTGCGGCTTGCCTGATATGAGATGACTTTTCTGGGGTCTGTAACAAAGACAGACAGCTGACAAACACATGCGAACGTGGGCAAGTGTCGCCGCCACACGTTTTGCATTAGGAATGCCTTCACTTGGTCCCAATTCTTTTCAGTTCGGCTTTGTCTTTAATGGGGGATTGGGCAGGCGAGTAAAATTGGAAAAAGTCAGCATGTGGTTCGCGTCACTTTGTCTGCCGTGAAGTTTTCGGTTTGTGTTTCTGCCACGACCTCAAGCTGTGCGCCTGCGCCCTGAGCAGCCGTCGATGGACTGGCCTAATTCATTTGTAAACGTCTTCAGGTTATGTGACACATATGTCTGGCACGTTATGGATGGCACCGTGAAAAAAAATTTTAAAAATATTTTTATTATTTCTGCAAAAGATTTATTTGCAAAAATTTTTATAACTTGATTAAAACAAGTCTCAGAGACGAACTAGGAACTTTTTGAGCTGCTATAAACCCAAACCAACGACAGAGATCACTTTTGTGGCGAATTAAAAAAAATACATTTTTGGCCAGTTTTCGCATTTTCGATAAATGGTAACATCACAATTTTTAGCGAAATTTGTAAAAATTTTACAATTTCAGCTGTGAATGCCACCCGATAGATAATTTTATAACGAATTTAACGAGATATGACATTCCACATTCGGACTTTCATTTCCCAGGTTATGATTAAAATTCTTACATTTTAGGGGAAAAATTTGGATTACACAATTCAGCGGAAATAGGAATTTGATTTTGTTTTTTTTTTTTATTGTAACTTAAGCGGAAAAAATTCCACAAGCAAATGATGCAACGTTTTTGACAGCTTATAGTTTTAGCTTTCACTGCAAAATATTTAAATAATTTATTTTAAAAGCTATCGCTACTCACGAGGCCATCGCTAGTCACGGAGACATAACGCCGAGCGGCGGGCGGTACCTGGTGCCAGCGGGCGTTTCACAGGAGGCAGGCGGCGAAAAAGGAGCGGGGTCTTGAAAGTGTCGCAGCAAACGCCCCTCGGCTGACACTTTATTTTTTTGAGACTGTGGGTCGCGTGAATTCTGGGTAATTACAATTTATGGTGACGCAGTTTCTAGCCGGAGCAATACCATTTCCATTCCGATTTCGTATGGGTGAAGTGGCACCCGCAGTGCGTGTTTGTATTGCTTTTGAATCGAAACTCGATTGCGAAACAAAGGTCGCACTGCGGAGTGGCACTTGAGAGGGTTTCTATGCCGTTCTAGTTGCTTTCCACGAACCAATAAGCAATAGTTGTGTTTTGTTCACTGGCAACAAAGGAACTCGAGTGCACCTTACCATTAGCCGGTCAAGGGTTTCCTTTTCATGTGCTCAAGAATAGAGTCTCTCAGACGAAGTGTCTGCTTTGGGAGATCATTAAGCATGTAGACCCTCCTTCGTCCACATGGTTACATCATCATGCGGGCAGTTGTCTTCAATTCCCATGCACAAACAATTAAAAGAAGGCAGGCAGCGCAATATTCGGAAAAAAATTCGCCATGCATTTTCTGGCGGCGTAACGCTCCAGTGGATTAAATTAAAATCCAAGGGGATTCACCCCCGATTCCATGGGAATGAAATCCACACATACAACTCAATTAAGTTCGCTGCCAAGTGAAAAACTTAATTTAATACTTAATTGCAGTGTAAATTGGGGGGAGGGGTCATCGAAAGATGGGGGCTGCCAGGCAAATCAATTTTAGACTCCGTTTGATCCTTCGAGCATATGCCCCCCATCAATTGATAAGCAATTTTCCAATTCGCCTACAATTTCCATTTTAATAGAAAAATCCCACGCAACACAACGAACAAAAATTTCGCACAACAGCCAAATATGATGAAAGTCCGGGAGGTGGGCGTGTGCTGAAAAGTGGGCGTGCTCAGCTATGTATAAAGCCAAATTCAATATAAAAATTCAAATCATTCAATTATCTGTGGCTCAACGCGATGCCGCCTCATGGCTTTTCGCGGGATGGAGGAAAAGTTGAATCAATTTGGCAATTGAATTTCATGGAAAGTTAGGGACCAGCGAAGGGGACTTAAACAAGTAAAATAAATGGCATTTATCAGAAACAAATCAAATTTCCGCTTGTAATGTAAGCAAAACGAGGGAAAGATACAAGAAAGATAAACAGAAAATGGCAACAAGAAGTTGGGTTTCCCTTAAACAGTTAAGCAAAGGATAAAAGATGGTAGATACATTTTCTTAGCCAGCTGCTTTATATTTTCCCCGAAAATGGTAAAAATGGATTGTCAGGACTTCAATAAAATATAATCAAATCCGCTGAGGATAAAAATTTGATGACGTAAGCCGACCTACTGTGCGGTGTAAATTCCGATCCGCAAAGTTTTGTTCTTTTTAAATTCTTTTTTCACCTCTTTCAATAAATATATTTTTTTAGCAAATCAACTTCGTTCACCTGCCCCAACATTTTTTGCATTTTTCGCGTATTCCATTTCAATTTACAGCCATTAAATCAGCGCTGACTGGGGAATATACTATCTATATATACACACGTGGATGTTCGCTGCTAAACAATGCTGTAAATAAACAATAAAATGAATGGCATATAAAAAGAAGATTGCATGTTGGCGCGAGCAGACGGAAAATCACGGAAAATCCACGCGAGTTTCAATTTTCCTTAGTTGATTTTTCCTCCTTTTATTAGTCCTTTTTATACGTGTGCACGTATTGGCGCGTATCTATGAGATACGGGATGCCAAATTGGTATCTGGCATTGGATTACATGACAACGACTTGCACTCGCTGCCGTTAATGAGTTCAACTCGCTTCGCTGACTTTTCCACAATGTATGGGATCTGTGAGTTTTAAATTTCAACTGTTGCAGCTGTTTGGACAGCCTTTAAGATTTTGCCGACACGCCCCCTGTAAAATGTGGTTTTGTTTGGGCTTCTTGGCCAGGTCAATCTACTGCTCACCAAACCGCAACATGTTAGTGCAGCTTGTGGGTGTGAGCTGGGCTACTGTATCTACTGTATCTAAATCCGAACTGGTATCTGTATCTGCCCATCTGCATGCCGAGTAGCCAGTGTATCCGTATCTTTGGCTGAGCCTCGGCTTAATGCGCTTGCATAAACAATGGCAGACCCTCGGAGTCTTCATCTCATCGCCGCATCTGTAAGCGGATTTGCCCTAATGTCATTCGCCGGTCCTTTTCCTCCTTTTTTTAGATGTTTACCGACCCTCTTTTTAAGTCCCTGAAAAGTATGCACTGCTAAACGGTAGCATAATTAGATCAGCGTTGGATTTCAAACTAATGGAGTTGCAGGAATCAAAGGTTGCCCCTGGCAAAAAGCGAAATAAAATATTATCAAATTCAGGGCTGTAAGAAATGAGAAGACTTTAGTTCTCGGAAAATTAAGTTGTCACGACAACCACTCACATATGGCTGTCCTTTGAGGATTGGATTGGCAAGCCAACCACCAGTTGAATGCGGACTGGAAAGTATCAATCCTCACTCCTCAAAATCCAAGCAAATCCAGCGCAGGCGCCCTTGTGGATTCCAAGTTTCGTGGCGGAACGCCAAGTTTCGGGTTCAGGACAAAAATGCCAGCACATGGAGCCAGGATAAACAGTTCCTTGCGCGCTTTCAACAGCAAAGGTTGAACCGAAAAGGCGCCTCCGAAGTATCTCACAGATCCCCGAAAATACCAAACATTGTCCGAGATACGACGAAAGCCATAAAAACTTAACAAATCCGCCAGTTTAGCACAAAAGGTCGCTTAACTTTTAACGACGCGACGGGGTAATTTTATTGCCGGAGTCGTGGCACGATAACAGTGATAACAAAGTAGCCGCGTTAACCAAAAAGTTTCACACTTTCGGTGCTCGAAATCAAAGGGCGTAATCGTAAAACGCGGCCAAGTGTTGCGATTTATGAGTTCACAATCGTAATTGAATTTTATGCGAAAACTTTGGCGAGTTTTCCTTGGGATTATTGTGCAAATAAAACCGAAAAGCAAACAAAAGGTCGAGGGCATAACGAAAATTGCCGCCAAAAAATTGATACCAAGGTGAGTGGGACACAGAACAAATTGCATTGTTTGACAACCTGAATATCCTTTCGGATTTAAGAGTGTTTTTTGTTGGTCAATTCGGGTTTATTTTATCCCTTTGTTGGGATCAAAGTTCGCCCTTTGAGCCCTTGACAAACAGTGTTAAAAAGGTCAGTAGCCTTGACTTGAAAGGATTGCATAGGCTCTTGTTTCGCTCCGCTGCCTTCGGCGTCCTTTCATCTTCTCTATATAATTATTCACAGCGAGTTCCCCCTTTACATTTCGCCACCTTTTGCCACTTTGCCTGCACATCAAAATGCATTGCAAACTTTTGCCACGAAAGCTGTTACACTTTTTGGCCTGGTTCTGCTTAAAGTTATCAGCGGGAAGCGCGGGGAAATACGGGCTCCACGGATAGGAATCAACTTTTTTCGGGGTGTCGTCGTACTCCTTGAGGCAGACTTCCTGTTAAGCTGTCAACATGTTCGCTGCGAAGTGTTCAGCTTTCGCGAAGAAGTTTAAATACTTCGGGGAGTTGAATTGCATGCGAGAGCGCTTGAAAAATATTTGGGCGTGATCAAAGTAAGCTTAAATTACAGTGTTTTCTGGTGTGAAAAGTATTTAAGGATTTACGTTAAGCCTTATTTTAAGTGGTAATATCAATCCTATTTTTTCAATTAAACTCATTTTGTACAGTCTCTGTTTGTTATGGTATTAAAAAATTAAAAAAGAAGACAATACTGACAATAAAGTTGCAAAAAATTGTTAATGTCAGTAAAGGAAAACTTTTTGTTTATTTGTATTCCATAACAAACGTATAGAAACTAAACTCTAAAAAATGGTTGAAAAAATGTGAATAAATAAATTCATTTTGAAATAAATACAAGTGCAGTTCAACAACTGTCTATTTTAATTATATTTTAATAATATTTGTAGGCCATGAAATGTCAAATGTCGAACAAATCCCAATCAGAACACATAGACTACAGAATCACTGCATATTTTTAAGCATTTATTGTATTAAAAGAAAGTCTCATTTCCCCTTAATACCACGAATTACTCACCGCAGCATACTTTCGGGGTTAATGCCGAGTTAAACTGCATTAAAAAGCAGCGCGGAAATTAATGAAGATAAACCCCTGGACAAACTTTGGCTATCAAGTGGCTTACGCTTAAATCCGTGGTATAAAAACTGCACTTAAATGCAGTCGCAAAATAAGATACACAAGGCCACCGCAGTGTCCTTCCACCGCCCTTAGCTTTTCCGCCCACAACCACCGCCCCCTTCACCTTGCCACATTTCCTTGAAAGCGTCGCCAAGGAAATGTCGAGCGGCGGTTTGTTGGCCGCAGCAGCATTCGCATTCGCATTCGCATCCGTATTCGCATTCGCAGTCGACACTTCCGCAGCGGCGACAGGTGCTGCCTGTCAGCTGCATCCAAACCGCGAATTTTCCCCCTCACTGCCCGCTTTTCCCAACGCTTTTCCCTCGCCATGTCAAGTTAATCAGCAAGCCATGGTTTCTGCGCTTTTTTTCGGTGGCTTTTCAGCATTCCCTCTTGTTTTTTTTCGGTTGCAGGTGAAAAAAATTTCACGCCCGCCGCGAAAACTTTTCATTTTCAACGAGCGAGTGAGCGAGCGTTAATAAGGTATAAAAAAAGCAAGGGAAAAGCCGAATAGCAGCCACAGACAAAAGAGCCTCATAAAAATGGAGCTTGTTTGCTTAAGTTAGAAGAGGCTGCTGCTCCTACTTCGTTTTTTTTTCCGCTTTTCCCCCTTTTCCGGGAAAACACGTTTATTTGTTAAAGTTTACTGGTGTTGCTCTTGGCAGTGACTTTGGCTTCTGGGTCTTGTCAAGTAGCTAAAGACAACAAAACAGAGTCTAAATGAAAATCTGCTTTTATTCCACGAACTGACACATACGTACACAAGTAAAAAGGACCAAGAATATAGAAAAATTAAGAGATAAGCTTTAAAACTTAGTAAACTTACATTAAATAATAGCACATATTAGTAAAGATGAAACAGAAGTCTTCGACCTTTAAGTCGTTGTATTCTTATCATTATATTATTTGTTGGTAAAAAGCTATGTTGCTAATCAAAATAAATTTAAATAAACTCAAGTTTTTTATTAAGCCTAGGTGCTTTATTTAATTTAATACAATATTTATTAGTGTGAATTAATTATAGCAAAAAAACTCTGAGAAAAAATTAAGAACTAAAAATCAAATCGTTTTAATTAGTGTACAAGAGTTTTTCCGGTTTTTGAGATTCAAGACTCACCGAAGACCGACCAAATTTTTTTTGGTGCATAAGCTCCTCGTACATGTGCTATAATTCACACTGCTGCTCAGCAAGCGGTACAACGAAAGGCTTTTAGGAGTTGTCTCATTTTTCCGCTCTCTTTCACTCCCGGTACGCCTTCGCCACGCCCACCTGCTGTTGACGCCCAGCATCGTTGACATTTTTATTCATCGTCTTGGCAACCGTAATTAAAATCGTTTTAATTTACTTTTGCCTCGCTCACACACACACACAATCGCGCACACAAACACACGTGCAAGCCCACGCCTTCCGTTTCCTGTGGAAAGTGTAGCACACTTATCAGCGCTTGTCTGCTGTGCCTGGTTTATGTTTATCGACTTTTGTTTAGCGGCTGATGCTGTTGCTTTTCTACTGCTGTTATTATTTCAGTCTCTGCCCGCTGGCGCTATCCCTTCCCCCTTCCCCTATTCCCCTTTCCCCCCTTTTCCTGCCTTGCTCATTATGTGGGCGTGCAAATTGCTGCATATTCATTTACCGTTATCTCTTTCTTGTCAAGTAAAACACACATTTTACTACAACAACAGCTGCTGCCGCCTCCAAGCAGTGCCTAGCCACGCCCCCCTCCGCCAAGCTTGGTAACCATTGCCATCATTCTCCGCCCACGACTCGATGTTCTTAATAACATAAACTTCTTTTCTCTCAGCGCCCGAGTTGAGTTAATGAAGAATTTCCATGACGATGTCGTTGCCCGTGAGCCCGTTATTACACTGCCGAAAAATAAGTTGATTTTGTCCTATTCATTTGTTCACTACCATCATTTTCATCATTTTGTTACTAGGAAGTCCACCATTATTTAATCTTTTTGTAATTACTATTTTTTGTCAAATAACAAAGTGAACAAGCCACCTTTTTTAGTAAATTTGTAGATATTTTGCATTAATATTTATTTTACAATTAATATGAATATTTTCCTTAGTGCCAAAATATCTTTTGTATATATATCTTTTGATACCACTCCAGCCACCTGCCCTGGCTCATTATATTGTTGCCTTCGCCGAGGATGAGGACGTTCAAGTTGCCTGGGCAACAACAAAACGTCTGCAAATTTGCCAGTCGGTCTCACCGCTCGAGTTGGCTTGAAGCGTATTAATTTTGCTCATAAAATGATTCCCGATAAGATTTGATCTGTGTTTGCCCCGAGACTCGTGGCTCTTTCATAGAATTTGCCAGCCTTTTGAAGTTGACTGCGCACTTGAGGAGAATGGAGACTGTTCAGTGGCTCGGCAAGCCGATGAGGATGAGGTATTCACCTTTGGCTTAGTAATGAAAATTCTGCGACGGCATCATCGTCGCTGTAAGCCGCTTAAAATTGCCGAGATGATGTGTGCATATGACTAAAATCTCTGGGGCTTAGTTGGCCCGCTATCAAAACACTCGGCAGCATCACTTCAAACGGCCCGGCAACATTTTGCCCCCCGAAATTGCCATTGCATGTTGCTAGCAACATGACCATCACTCACTTACTCTAACACATACACACGCTCACGCGCACACACGCATAGTTATCCTTCGCTCCTTTTGTGGGCTAGTGTCTGTGTGTGAAACACCCACACACGGAGATTATTTCGAACAGGAGCTCAGCTGCAAATGTTGGCGTACGCACTTCACACACAGATACTTACCCAAACGCAGCCACACAATGCAGACACGCTTTTGCAAACACACATACACATACTCACGTATACGAACGCACTAAACAGGCTCACAAAATCGTCCTGGAAGTTGCGAAAGCAGCGAAAAAAGCGAGAAAGCCGAGCAAAGTAAGACACTCTTTTCGTGAACGGTGAAAAGGTGGTGGAAGCTGGTTGAACGGGGCCAAACAAAAGCGAGATAAACAAGAAGCACACTCACACACACACACCGATACACACACTCACAAACAAGCAGTGGAATAAGCGACAGACATTGAAACTGTTTTCAGGCTGCCGCTGTGTGTGTGTGCCATAAAACGGTCGCGGCCTGCAGTTGAGTCCTGTCTTAAGGGCCAAAAGAGAGGTTGCTTTATGGCCATGCCCCATCCGCCGAATAGCTCCTTTTCCACCGCGCTGTTGTTGTTAATTTCGCCACTTTTGGCGCTGGCATAATAAAGTTGATAAAGCCGCCGCAGCGCAGCCTTTGAAGATTTTGTATTTGGCTAGCCCCGAAAAGTAGGCAATTATATTTTGCATACATCTGCATACAGGCAAGCTTCAATAAATCGTACTTTCCAAATCAAAAATTGATAAATATAAAAAAAATTATTTGAACACTTTTTTTAGAATAAATAAGTTATGTTAACTATAATTTGTACTTCTCGTTTTGATTGATGATTAAAAAAAAAAAAAACCATTTTTTCTTTAAGCAATTTAGCAAAAATAAATGAAATGATTTAAGATGTAAGAACTAGTAATTTTTGTAACTTCAAGTAGTATGCTAAGGATTCTTTACTGTTTATAAACACTCTAGTGTGTGAGTTGGGTCCTTACCATAAATCCTCCGCTTTTCCTGCATCGCAGTAATGAATGGCAACTCCTCAACTGTCTGTCTTCGGTTCAGTTAAGGCTGCGAAAAAGCGTGTCAAATAACTAGGACACCCAGTGTGCGAAAGGGGTGGGGGAAATGGGGTAGAGTAGATAGGGACATCAGCTGCCTGCCTAAGCGTCGGCCATAAAACAAATGAGCCTTCAACATGAGTTCGTCATTTGTTTGCCACC